AGTGTTAAAAAAATATTGCATCATGAATGCGGAAGACAAATAAGATTACTAATAGTATCAACCGATTTTGGGGGAAGGGCACAAATATGAACAAACAAATTTTATTTTTACGGATATGTTAAAAGTTGTTTTCAAGCCTATAGACATGAATTTCTAGGTGTTTAAAAGAAGGAGTAACACATATGCATGCTTTTTGTGAATCTAAATGATATGAACAAATTAATCCTTATTCAACATGACAAGATGATGCTAAAAGTTATAACATTGTTAAAACACCTAATCAACCTACTAAATTATATGATTTTATTTTAACATTAAAAATTAATGGAATCTAGTTTATTATTTTTTAGACTTATTAACAAAGCATCAAACAATTGATTGGATTATAATACCTACAAACAATAATTCTAGGTGATTAAAGACAAACCTATAGGCATGATTTCTAAGAAATTTTAATGAACAAGTAAGCATATAAATCCCCCTCCCCTAGACGACCCCCAAATAATTTTATATATATATATATGATCTTTAGAGTTACAATTGTTACAACATTCGAATAAATAAAATAGGCAAAAAATAATATATATATATATATATATATATACACACACGCATTCAAATAAACAAATAAATCTTTCTTCAATTAATCTTCAACTTGAACTTCAAGTTTGAAACCTGTTAAAGCAGTCAAATAACGGTTGAGTAGATTAGAAATGGTAGCAATAAAAAGCAAGTTGATCCAACCTTTACTCGAACAAAAGCAAAAAAGCAAGGTAGCGAAGAAGAGCACTTGAATGTTTATCGAAATCTTAATGTATTTAGAGTAGGAAGAGAGCAAGAGAGAAGGGAGAGTTATGAGAGAATTTTGTGATTGAGAGTGAATGAGTGTCTTTTTTTTAATGAAGGGAGGGGGTCTTATTTATATAGCAAAGAGGGGGAAACAAATAAGGAAAAGAAATATTTAAAGGAATCAATTAAATATATTGTTTTCCTTGTTGTAAAAGAGGACCATATAATTGAAGAAATAAAAGAAAGACATATTAACATATAATTGAAGAAATAAAATATTTTCATACCTACGTATACTGATTCCTAATATCTGTTGCCTTATTAATATATGTAACTATCTAATCACTTTGAGAAATCGAATGCACCATGGTTATAGCAAACAGAATGAATTTAGTAGCATAATACCATATTGATTTTCTGAGGAGATAAGAGATTGCGATCACTAATAGAAGACAAAACCAATTGAACTGAATCATGCATCAGATTTAACTCCTAATAAATCATGACTAGCAGCAAGCAAATTCATATTAACAGTAGACTCATCTATATGAGAACAGATTAACAGAAATAATTAAGCAAGTTCTGGGAAAATATAAGAGTCACATCAGAAGAAAGGACATATTTCAATTTTGCGGAAAAAAATGTTAGAGCAAAAAATATATAAAAGTATAAATGCATCAATTTGTATATCATTGCCACGCTTGAGTATGATTTTAGCATTATACTTAATATGTAAAAAGTCAAACCGAACTCAAACAAAATGAGATGATAATTGAAAGAGGGAACGAACATGGATGGACCTGTTGAGATCCATCTTCTAACACGAACTTCATTGGAGATGAGAGGAAGAGAAGACGCTGACACTACCGTTGGTCGTCGTTCGCTGCTCACCTGGAGAGAGGAAGGGGGAGGGGAGCGGCTGCTGTCCGTTGTTGATGCTGCCGGTCGGAGATGCTGCCTGTCGCTGTTTGTTGCAGCTGCTGGTGGCTTCCCATCGTGCTGTCCCTGCAAAAAAGTAGAAACGAAAAGGAGGAGGAAGGGGAAGACAGAAGGGGAGATGGAGAGAGAGGAGAGAAACGAAAGGGGGAGAGAGAGGCGGGGGAGGGACAGCTGCTGCTGGTGCGCTGTCCGGCAGCCTCCCTCGCTGGAAAAATGGAGGAGAGAGAGAGAGAGGCGGCTGGAGAGGGGGAGGGCGAGAAGGGAGAGGGGAGAGAGGGGCGGTGGCTAGTGAGGAAGGAAGAGAGGGAGAGGAAACGAAGGCGGCTGGAGAGAGACGATTTTAGCCGGAAATAATGGAGGGAGAGAAGAGAAGGGGAGGCTGCCAAAGAGGGGAGGTGGAAGAGGAGAGAGGAAATTTTTTTTTCTTAGGTTTAGATCATTGATAGTTCAAAAAATAGAGAAAAGAAGGATTTGATCTCAATCGTCGATTAGATAGAGATGGAGGGTTAGGATTAGATCTAGGAATTAATTAAGATGGATAAATGAGATTAAAAGATGGAAAAATTAAAATCAAATTGGTTGGAGGATTGGAATCGCTAAAATTGCAATTAAATTGTCTAGAATTGAAATGAAAAAGAGGCTATAATTGTAATAAAAATTTAATTGGAGTAACTAGGATTGAAAGAAATTATGATAGAATAGGCTAGAATTTAAAATTTAAGGAAAGTGTAGGAATTACTATTTAATTAAAATACTACATATATTAAAATATTTTTATATAAATGAAAATCATTTAAATTTTAACATTTGAAATTCGTTAATAATTTTAATAATATTTACGATAATTTTATAGAGTAAAACATACTAAAATATATAATTTTCAAGCAAAGTCGATTAAAAATTCTAAAATTTAAAATACGTATTTAATTGAATAGTATTCCTAAAAATGGTCAAAGGTCGGTCAAAATTGGGTGTCAACACTATTTACAGGGATATAAACATCATCTGCCAAGTGTCAAGACAGTCCACAAGGCATACCAAACACTTTCATTATGCCAACGATTTTATCCTCATATTCAGTAGCAATGTCAATGCATGTTTAAAAAAACAACTAGTGATGGTATATTGATATTTAGACTGAATCTGTTGCTTCGTCTTCTCACGCAAATAGTAAAATATGACATCCACATACTGCACACACATGCATGAAACAAGTGTATCAATACTAAACAATGCATTTAAACGTGGGCATAGATTTACCTCATCATTCCAGCACTTATTGGGTTGAGACATTACGTAGAACCAGTCCTTATTCCTTGGAAATGCAACTACAAAATCAAGTTGGTCAAAATCAAGTTTTGAGCAATTGGCTAAATAGTGATCCTCCTTGTTTCCTCTGCAATCGTGTAATCATTATAAATAATTATTTAGTGGACAACAAGAAGAAATACTAATGATAGTTGAACGAACTTACTTTACTTACTTTTTTGCATGATGCTTGTAAAGACCCTCGTTTATTCATTGTGAGAAGGATGACATTAGTTCAGTTGGAACCTCACCGCCAATGTTAAAACCTTCAAATGGTATTGTCGCTTCACATCACAACTGACAACTTCGACTTTCTTCTCTTTATTTTTCTCTGTCTCTTTCTCCATATCCTTTGCCTTCATCTTCTTCTCCTTCTCCTATTTTTCCTTCTTCTCCTCCTTCTCCTATTTTTCCTTCTTCTCCTCCTCCTCCTCCTCCTTTGCCTTCTTCTCCTTTTCCTTCTCCTTCCCTTTCTCCTTCTACTGTTTTGCCTTCTTCTCCTTTTTCTCCTTCTCCTCCTTTGTCTTCTTTTTCCTTCTCCTTTTCCTGTTTCTTCTTTGCATTCTTCTCCTTCTCCTTCTCCTCTTTTTCCTTCTTCTCCTTTTCTTTCTTCTCACTAATATAAAAAGTGTTTGGGAAATAGATTTTTTCAACCTCCTACACTTCAAAGGTTATAAGATCTTCTTGGATCTTTGCACATCAATATTATGAGACATTTTCTTAAATATCAGTGAGTTTTTTAACACGACTAATAAAATAATCATGTTGCTGCTCACATTCTTCGCATAGACAAAAAGAGCATTCGATGTTAGAAGATGATGTTTTTTGTATCATTTATTTCATCTACAAGGTAAATAAAAAAAGATTGAGATTTACAATTCATTAAAAAATAATGATAGTTGTATGTTGCAACAGATGGATAGTCTGTTGCGATAAATTAACATTATGTTGCCACATATGTACCTGCTGTTGCGACACATAAAATTTTTATTGCAACATATAGATCTTATGTTGCTACATATGAATCATATGTTGACACAAATGTACCGATTGTAGCAACATATGAATCTTATGTGCAACAGATGTTCAAGATGTTGACCTAAGGTGAGATGTTACAACATATGATAACTATTTGAATATGCACCAACATACCACTAAAATGTGGCAACATACGTTAAATGTTTCAACAAATGAAATATATGTTGGACACCTGAATAACACTATATTTTTAAAATCATATCATCAAAATGGCCACAAAAAGAACAACAACAGTAACAAAAAATGACTTTTCACTGAATGATAAAATACATATACATTTCCTCAAAATGAGGATGTTTTGGGTTGGTTGATTTTCTTTCAAAAATAATAAATAATACACACCATTAAGTCGATTATTCAATTTTTACATCTACTGAACATTTTATTGTTCATTAATCGAAGAAAAAAAACTTTGAAAATTGTAAATTATTTCAAAAAAATAACTTACCCATTTCTAGTCAAACACGATTACAGTTCAGAAAAATGAGAGAGTAACGACTAGAGAGGAATATAATGGAAGACTGGAGAGAAAGAGTAACGAGGGATTTCTGAATTTCCTACAAAAAAAAGAACAATGCACCAAAAGAGAAGAGAGGTAGAAGAGAGAGAAGGGAGGAAGAAGATGAAAAGATTTTTTTTAAATGATTTGATTTGAATTATAGAAGTGTGTGTTTTTGTATTTTATAAAAAAATAAACTCTGGTCAGGCCTATCTTTACAACTTGTATTGGCGACTTTATCTCCTCGTATAATATCTCAGCTGGTGCTGTATAGAATTTTATATAAAATAGGTTTTCTTTAGTAATTCTCTTATATGTCACAAATGCTCTATATAATTCCGGTATTCCAATTTGGACTGGTTTTAGATTGTGCTATTTTGTTATATCCGTGTAACAAAAAAATTTAACGATCTATTGTCAATGTGTCGTCAAAAACAAAAAGAAGACTTATTTGACACATTTCCCTTAATTTTCTCTTGAGAGTAGGTCAAGTTATGGTGTGGTTTTTTGGACTCTTTTGTGGTCGAGAGGAAGAGAAGCAAGTGAAAGATGAAGAGCAGGGATTCGAAGGTGGTGGCGTGGCAACTGTTGAGACGCACTCTCTCTACACCAAATCCCCCACTCCATTCAATTCTTCCCCTTACCCGTATCCTCCTCCGTTACCATATGCTTCCACAAATACACTCACTTCACTCTTTCCTTCTATCTCTCTCCCCTCATCTTACTTGTCAATACACCATTGTCAAACTCCTAGCTTCTCATGGCCACATTCACGACGCCATTTTTCTCTTTCGTTCTACTCGCTCACATCACCCACCGCCCAGACTCTCACTCTACAATTTTCTTATATATAAATCTTTCAAATTTAATTACTCCAATTTTATCTCCTGGTTGTATCAAGACATGATTTCTGCTTCTGTTTCCCCTGTAACTTATACCTTTAATCTTCTCATTCATGGACTCTGTAATTCCGATCGCTTACGAGATGCCCGCCACCTGTTTGATCTTATGCCTCACAAAGGGTGTCACCCCAATCACTTCACTTTTGGGATTTTGATTCGTGCTTATTGCAAATTTGGACTTTCATTACAAGGTTTAAAACTTTTGGATACAATGAAGATGATGAATGTTTGTCCTAATATCATAATCTACAACACTCTCGTAGCAAGTTTCTGCAGGAAAGGCGATGTTGATGAGGCTGAGAGGTTGGTTCAGAGGATGAGGGACGATGGCCTACTTCCTGATGTTGTTACCTTCAATTCTAGGATCTCAGCTCTTTGCAACTCCGGCAAGATTCTTGAAGCTTCCAGAATTTTCAGAGATATGCAAATAGATGAGGTATTCGGATTGCCAAGGCCTAATATTGTAACTTTCAATTTGATGTTGCAGGGATTTTGTCAGAAAGGGATGCTCGAAGAAGCAAGGACACTGACAGAATCTATGAAGAAAGATGATATTTTCTTCAATGTGCAGAGCTACAATATCTGGTTATGTGGACTAGTTAGGAATGGAAAGCTCTTGGAGGCTCAAACAGTTCTGAAAGAAATGCCCCAAAATGGAGTAGATCCCACCATATATTCATATAACATCCTGATTCATGGCCTCTGCAAGCATGGGATGCTTGGTGATGCCAAAATGTTGATGAGCTTAATGATAAATGATGGTATATTCCCAGATACAGTTACCTATAGCACTCTACTCCATGGCTACTGCACAAAAAGTGAAGTGACTGAGGCAAAGAATATTCTGCGTGAGATGATGAAGAGAGGATGCATTCCTAATAAATACACTTGTAATACTCTACTTCATAGCATGTGGAAAGAAGGAAAAGTGTCAGAGGCACAACAGTTACTGCAGAAGATGAATGAGAGAGGTTATGGCCTGGATACTGTGAGCTGCAACATCGTGATTCATGGTCTTTGCCAAATTGGAGAGGTGGACAAAGCTGTTGAAATTGTGAGTGAAATGTGGAGTCATGGAAGTATTGCCCTTGGTGATTTTGGAAATTCGCTTATGAGTTTGGTTAACGAAGATGATCATGGGAGGAAATGTCTGCCTGACTTGATCACCTATTCAATCATTATTAACAGTTTATTCAGAGAAGGGAAGCTTGATGAAGCTAAGAAGAAGTTTGTTGAGATGATGAGAAAGAAGTTGTACCCTGATTCAGTTATTTACAATACTATTTTACATCATTTGTGTAAAAGAGGAAAGATATCATCTGCATTTCAAGTTCTAAAGGACATGGAGACAAAAGATTGTAAAAAGAGCTTACGGACTTATAATTCTTTGATACTCGGATTGGGGGATAAAAATCAAATATTTGAAATGTGTGGCCTGATGGATGAAATGAGAGAAAAAGGAATTTCTCCAAGTGTTTACACTTACAATATCATGATAGGCTGTTTATGTAAATCTGGGAGAACTGAAAAAGCAATTCCTCTTTTGAATGAAATGTTACAGAAAGGAATTATTCCTAATACGAATACCTTTGAGTTGCTTATTAAATCATATTGTAGGACTGGTGAGTTCAGACCAGCTCAAGAGGTATTTGATATAGCTTCCACTATATGTGGTCACACCGAAGCACTCTACGCACTGATGTTCAATGAATTCCTTGCTGGAGATGAAATCGTGGAAGCTAAGCAATTTCTGGAAACTGCAATAGATAAACACTTTGATCTAGGAAGTTTCCTTTACAAAGATCTTATAGACAAGCTGTGTAAGGTGGAGAATTTAGAAGGTGCTCATGATATTCTCATCAAGATGATGCACATAGGATATGGGTTTGATCCTGCATCCTTCATGCCAGTTATTGATGGCTTAATTAAATTGGGACAAAAGCATGTGGCAGATGAACTAACAGAGAGGATGCTAGAGATGGTTTCAGAAGGTAAGGTGGGTAACAAAACTTATCAAAACTATAGGGAGTTAAATCACATGAAGCGAAGTAAATATGGCGGAGATGGTTGGCAGGCAATTGTTCACAGGTAAGGAGTTTAAGTTCATCTTCTTTATCATATTTTTCCGTTTGATTTGGTGGTCCTCTATTATTTAAAACTTAGTTGTTTGTACCTCAAAAAGTGAATACAAGTTTCCTAGGTTGCTGCTTTTACCTGGGGTAGTCTCAGATTAGTCAAAAGCGAATGAAGTAATCAACAAAGTCTATTGGAGCTTTTAAGGAGCATTGATAAAAAAACTGCTGATGGTAAAAAAGTTAAAAATATATGTAATTAGTCTAGGTGCGTGTAAGTCAGCCCGGACACCTTGGTTATCAAAAACAAATAATCTTATGTAACACTCTTTAGCAGATGATTTAGCAACTTAACTAACTAGATTTATCGTCCATTATTGGCTCTCTTAAAGATATAACCAACAGGAGATGAGTCACTCGCGTTAGTATCTACAGTAAAAACTACTTAACCGATAATTTTCATACCCTAGCTTTTACTGGATCTTAGAGCTTAAGCGCGCTATAAATGAACCCTTAGCAACATTGTGTAAAATGATTAGGTTGTAGAACTTCTGGATCTATGAGAAATCATTTCATATCTCGAATATTTGAAGGAAAAAATATGAATCTTGTGGAAGAAGAATATGAAAAGGAAAAAGTGTCACACTTCTTTTTAATAGGATCATCTATGAGTATGAGTCATCCTTACCTTTTTAGCCTAAACTTGGTAGGGTAAAGCCAACATAGTTTGGAATATGGATCTCGTCATTCTCGTGGCTCAATTTTTGCCTTCCTGCTTCTGTCTTTTCCATTACTTTCCCGTTGAAGTGATAATTTACTGGTTATGGAGAACCCTGGTACACAAGCGGTATACAGATGGTGAAAAGCATACAAAAGACGTGGTGCTCTATGAATCTTATTATTTCCATGATTCCATTATGTGATACCTTGAATAAACTGCCTTTTAATAGAATATTCTTTTAAGTTGTTTCATGAAATTTCTTCATAGTGTTTCATTATATCTCCTGAACTGTCTATCCTGTTTTGACAGAGATGATGGAAGTGCAGCAGCCTTGAAAAATTTGAAGCGGGTGCAGAAAGGGTGGGGTCAAGGAAGTATATAGTGTCTATAAACTCCCAAAAATGGTTTTCTGGATGACTAAGAAACTATTAATTGGATGTTCCTTTCTTCGCGATCATGGATTTTGCGTTCAGGGAATAGGTAGCTAAACATGATCCTCTTAAAAGCTATACAATGCGTCCAGTTAAAGGAAGCTTATCTAGTTTCTAATCATAAATGATTATTGGGGCTGACATGGATACAAGCAAATGGAGATCTGTGCCAATACAGGACAATGAATCACTATTTGCAGTTTATAAAGGTTTTCGTTGTCACTTTTTTTGCTACTGCTGCATTCCTGGTCTGGCCTTGATATAATATTTTGGACCTGCGTCAGTTTGATTCTTCCTTTTTTAACTAAAACCCCAGAGATTGATTTGATAGAAGATGCATACATGAAAATTCAAATATTTGATTTCTTTTACCAGCTAGATAATATTTTTAGCTACTGGTGAAAGAACTCAAGTGTTAGCTAACCTTCACCAGCTAGCTAATTTTTGATGTATGGGATCTTCAATTTTGACCGGCCAATTCATTTTGAGAAGCACTAGTAGCATCTCTCCGAATTAACTTCTTACGTAGTGATTTTCTCCTCCACATATTTCATTTTTTCAATATTCTATTCGATCCCTTTGTCCGACACATCACCATCAACATTCATTTTCATACTGCCTTCCTCTTGCTTTCAACTTCATTCACATGATCCTTTCTTAAAACAGCTGACGGAACTGCAGTAGCTGAAACCCCCAAATTGGGTCTAGAAGTCTGAGCCCACATTAATTGTGGAATATTGCTCTCTTGATAACTGGGCCACGTGCTTGTGCCAATCCATTGTAAGTTTTTTATTACTGCTTTTTTATAGTTACGAATATGAAAAACGTATCTCAATTTTCACTGTTTGAAGACTATTTTTGAAGGAAAAAGAATGATGAGGTGATGGTTTTATGTCTCGGTTGTCTCCTCTATAATTCCTTTCCCCTTGTCCTAATAGGTCACCTAACACTGTGTCAAATAACAAGTTGAGTGCACATGGTTTTCAAAATTTATATGGGTTTTCAATATTCAGATTTCTGAATTATGAAACCCATATAATCTTCATTGAAATGTAGACTTGGACTAGCTATGGAAAAGCTGACTGACTTATATAAATAAATTCAAGGAAAGCATAAATTCTTTTAACAATTCCTAAAAAGTTTTGATCCTCTTTAGATTTCTGCTGAACTTAACTGTACTCCAACAGTTGAGTGAATCCCTGAACTTCAGAAGGTATTTTGAACATTGACATTGGAAAAATATCTTCTCTGTATGTTTGTTTTACACTCAAGCTACAGTTTCATTTCACTCTCAAACTTGATTGATATTTGTTCTTACAGAAAATTGTTTACTTATGATGAGCGACTAGGTAACTTGTCAAAGTCTACCATTGGAGAACCTATGGAAGAAGCAGAAAAGTGAGAACCCAGACATGGGAGGAAAAATCAGCAGTGTTGGAGAGAGGCAGATAGCTAATTTAACATTGTCCCATTGAGTGCACTACTTTTTATGTACAATTATGAACTATGTTACTATGCACCCTCTCCACAAAATTTGCCCAAGGGTGATAATCCAAGTCTCTTTTGTAAGAAAGTATAATGGTTTGAATCTCCTACAAGTTAAATCGTTAATAATTATTTTTATTTGGGAAATAAGATTCTTTGTGTACTTGTGTTGAATCTGTTTAGATGTGATTATTATGTTATAAGTCATAAAGAAATTATACACATATAAGGGTGTCAAATGTGTGTGTTAGGTTGAAATTGGGTATATTATTGAGGAAATTTCACAAATAGCCATTAAAAGTAACTTAATAAGGCTTCATAGGTATAATTTATTAATCACGATTCGTTGCTACATGTTAGGGGGGAGGAGAGAAGTGAGCAAGAGAGGGCAGTGGGAGTAGATACATAAATTGTATTTGTATATTTATCGAATTGTATAGGCTGTTAACATAAACAAATCCCTAAACTTGTCGGATTTTTTCCTTCAAGTACCTCAACTAAGTCATTTTCGTATTGAATCCTTGAATTATCCATATTTTGTTCCTTTTAAACACTGTTGGCTGATGTGATCCAAAACTTTTAACAAATATTTTTTTGTTGATTGTGCGCGTGAGATCCACCTTTCCCACGTGAAAATTACAACCAATCAAACTTCAATCCATTTATACGTCAGCGTCACATATTCGTTTCACAAACCTAAAAATCTAAAGCCCCTTCGTTTCCACCCTCAAAACACTTCTAACCCGAAGTGCATTGGTTCTACACGAGAAAATTCTAAAAATCGGTCTTCTTTCAGTGACAGTTATGCTATTTACAACTAAAATTCTTAGATTTTAAAGTGATTTTGAGTGTTTCGTTAAAGGCATCATCTAGGGGTGTACATAACCGGGTTGGTTTGAGTTTTTCAAGTATCAAATCAAATCATTTGTGTCAAATTTTTTAATTTATAAACCAAAACTAACCAATAAAATTCGAGTGTTTCAAGTTTGGGTTTTTCGAATTTAAGGGTTTTTTTGGGTTTTTCCGGTAAAGTATTAATACAAGCATATATTTACTTGTACTGCAAATATTTCTTTAGTCCTACCATGATGCAACTATCTAAGCTGTATTTTAAGAAAATAACACAAAATATGAAATGATTAATGACACTAAAATATCCAACAAAAAAACAATAATGAAATCGCGTAAAACAAATATTGTAAATTAGTTAGTCATAATGAAATTGATCATAATTTAAAAATACTAAATCATGCTAAAATAAGTTTAATGAATATTAATTACATGACTAAATATTAAAATAAAGTAAAATTAGATTTTTTTCGCAACAAATTTTCGTAAGCGCAAAAAATACACTACAACCAAAATAAATAAAAGAAGATGTGATTTTATTAATGAATCGTGTGAGTACAATTCTGTTGTTCTCTTGATTGTTCTTTTTTATGTTTCTCCTTGATTCAAGGGCCTTCAGTAGCGTATTTCCCGAATGTTGGATGATGTAGACCTCCTTGAGAAGTATTTGACCTCCAAGAATGTCGGAAAGCGCTTCGTCGTTGCAAGTTGAACTCCGGGAAGAACTCTGTTGATCAATCCTTTGAAGAGCTATGTAGTTGATGTTGTAGCTTATGTAGACCTCCTTCAGATGTATTTGACATCCAAGAACGTCGGGAAGCACTTCTTCTTTGCAAGTTGATCTCTGGGAAGAACTCCGTTGATTACTTCTTCGAAGAGTTATGTCGTTGATATTGTAGCTTTATCCAATTGCAGAATGCTTGTTGAAGTATTTTCTTCCTCCCTTGAATGTCATGTTCATCCCCTATTTATAGTTTTAAGGGGTGGACAAGGTTGCTTGTCCAGAGGATGTCATTTTGACACTTGTCGCATTGTGATTCGTTCTTGCATTTGACTGAGACTACCACCTCATTTGGACACGTGGCATCACCTTGTTGGTCTTAGATGTCTAGTCACTATGACCTCAAGGTGAAATGGACCTTGAACTTGAATTTAATAAAAATGGGCTTATATATTTGTAAAGTCCAAATTAATCATTCAACCCAAATAAACATGGGTTTAATCCCAATTTCATATGAACTAAATCCATTAAAATTTGTGTGTCTACAGATGCCCCCTACTTCAAGCCTTGTTGAAGTGTAGGTTTGCCAACACTTGGTGACAAGACTTGAAGTATTCATGTATGTGTATATTTTAGACATGTCAACGTGTAGGCTTGTCGAATTTGACGACGAAAGTTGAAGTCTTTATGAAGACATTGTTGAGACTTCAAGAGTATTTCTTGTCATCGCATTCTAACTAGGTCACTACAAATGATTTGTTTGTAGTGATCTCAAATTTTTTTATTTGTTTAAACATTCTTGCTTGACAACCACGTGGACCTCATATATTGATTTCAAGTAGATAGGTCTAGTGAGTAGTAACATTGTGTGAATATTTGATTTTGTAAGAATCATTCCCTTTGGTTGATTTTGTAAGAATCATTCTTGACATCTCAAGACTTACTGTTTTTCTTTTGAGTGCTAGCAACTTTCATTTAGATGCTAGGAATTGATATGATTTGATTATTCAAAATTTACCAAAAATGTCCTTGTACAAGAAATAACAATTATTCAAAAGAACTTCTATATAAGAATCTCCCATGTACAAAGGATTGATCAAAGAATCATTGGAAAGATAATTCTTCTAACCAAATCAATATAGAACTCTTAATTTGGTGTCTTCTTTTCTCAATCTCGTGCAGTCTCAACAAAATTTCACTTTCTTAGTGTAAAAATGTTCAAATGACGTTGGCTTGATTTGAAAGAAACAAGATTCATAGTACTGTGTCCTATCCAAAAATCATCCATAAAAACCTTCTAGATTGTCGGAAATCAATTTTTGAAGTCGGACCTCAAATATGTCAATTCTTCTCACAACTATGCGCGATCTCACCAAAACATCAGTTACTTGGTGTAGGAACATTCAAACAATGAGCGGCTTGGTTTTTGAGAAACTTGACTCCGAGGAATACAACATATCCAAAAATCACAGTTAGAAACCTTTTGGATCGACGGAAATCAATTTTTGAAGTTAGGTTGTAAATTTGGACGTTCTTCTCACGGCTATGCGCGATCTTGCCAAAACATCAATTTCTTGGTGTATGAACATTCAAACGATGAGAGACTTGATTCTAGAGAAAATAGACATTGATTATTACGACATATCCAAAAATCACAGTTATAAACCTTTTCGAATCGGCGGAAATCAATTTCTGAAGTTGGAGACGTTCTTCTCACGGCTATGTGCAATCTCACCAAAACATCACTTTATTGGTGTAGGAGAATTCAAATGACGAGACACTTGATTCTGATGAAACTATACTTTTGTTTATACAACATATTCAAAAATCAATGTTAAACTCCTTCCGTATCGACGGAAATCAAATTTTGAAGTTGGCCATCAAATCTGGTAGTTTTCCTCATGGATTTGCGTCTTTTGGATTTTTCTTGTTTCTTTTTCTTGTAGGTAATGGTTTTGGTTTTGCATATTTGTTTTGTATTAAAATTTTTCTTAAATAAGGAGATTGATTTTCAAGATTCAATTTGACCGTACAAAACTTCGTGATATTGGCACCGCTATGTCGAACATAATTGTTGTGCTGCTACTCATGTTTGTCATGTCATATTGAAGGGTCATGCACTTACTACATGTAATATCAGAAGTATATCAACCAAGAAAAATTGAAAAGTAATTGGCACCGATGACTCCAATTATTATCCTTTTTTGTTTCAGGTTTCCAAAGAAGCATCACCAATCTCGACATCTTATCAAGAAGATGTAAATAACATTCGTAATTGCAAAGGAACACATGATGTACCTACACTTATGATTGTAGTTTTTGCATATTACAATTTAGCGCGACATCTACCTTTTCAAACGAGGATTTCGCAAACAATCATTTAATGTTTCAGCTTAAACCTTCATCCCAAAGTTGGTTGAGAAAATTGACTTCTTTAGCTTTCATTGGAGACTTGGTGAGATACTACTTGGAGAATTCAGATTCCTTGCGGCATAGGTGGAATTTACTTGTCACTTTGAAATCAGCTTACAATTTTATCCTTCTCGACTATTCATCTTGGCGCGTCTGTACTATAAAATTCATAACTCAAAGTAGGAGTATTGAAATTGGGATTTTCTTTTTTCTGATGGAAAAACAACTCAAAAAACTACACTATGTGTAAAAATCATGGCCAAAACCTATACGGATTTTCACAAATATGTCTGCTTAATTTAATTTTGAAATCTGATGGTCTATTTTACAGCTTTGAGCGGTCGTGGTAGAGACTCCATAACTTGGCATAAAAAACCTCTGAATCACAAGGCAACTTTTACGTTGTGAGGAAGACTCCAAGAATTGCAATATATGTGAAAATGATGGTCAAAACTTTTGTGAATTTTTACAAATACGCCTTTGAAGTCAGCTAAGATGTCTTGCTCAACTTTCTCTTTTTCTCATTTGTGACACGTTTGAACTCATTTGCTAGATGTATGATTTAAAAGAGCTAGTAATGATGATCCCGCAGTGCCACCAGTTTTGTTTATTCATTTGACTGAAATTAGAGTGTCTGAAAATGTTTTTTAGGCCATACACAATTTATATTCTTGTAGGCAAGAAGTAACATGCAGTTTATGCTCATACCTTAAGGAGAGTTGTAACTTGCAGTTTAGGCTCGTATGTTGAGGAGCATTTCAGGGAAGAATTCCATCAATGTAATTGTTCTTCTAACCTTTTATGATGAATCATTAATGTACTTCACTTTGGAGTTGTATTTCATGCTTTTGCATTGCCGAAGTTGATTCATAATTGATTTTGTGTCAACTTTTGAAAGATGGAGTTTAGAAGTACCTTGATGATTCTGCCTTTTGCGAGCGACCAAAGTCAAAGTGTCATCACCCTCTTCATTGAAGAAGGTATCTACCTTAGATGTGTTTGTTGTTTTCTTCAAGACGGAAACTTCAACTGGTTCACAGCTCCCAAACTGCAGAATGATGACATCTCCTTCAATTTTTAGCGATGCCACATGATGTAGAACTTCTGAAATTGATTCATAATCTAGTTTGACACTAGCATGGTTTTATCTAAGCTGTCTCAACATCGTCAATGATGATCTTTCCCTCTCGTA